TGTGTGTGTGCCTGTGTGTGCTCAGTTACTAGCCTCAGAAGCTAGTCAGATTGAAACTGTGTGTGCATGTATGTGTATGCCTGTGTGTGCTCAGTTACTAGCCTCAGAACCTAGTCAGATTGAAACTGTGTGTGTTCCCCGCTTGAAGTCTAAAGCACTATATGCGAGGAAATCTGACCTAGGTGTCAGACACAGTAACTTAATAAAAGTTCAGACAGACAGAAATAGTTCTAACAGTAGGGTTGTTAAATGTGGTTTAATGAACGTCAGATCAATCTCGTCTAAATCGCTTCTCATAAACGAACTTATTATAGACAAGGGCTTGGATCTGTTAGCGCTCTCGGAGACTTGGCTCCAACAGGACGAGTACGTTAGATTGAATGAGTGCACTCCTCCGACGCATGTTAACTACCAGAAAGCCAGAGCTACAGGTCGCGGCGGTGGTGTTGCGATTATATCACACACCAACTTGGTTCTTAGTCCCAAAACCAACAACGCTTTTCACTCGTTTGAAAACTTAACACTTTCAATCACCTGTCCTGGGTGGAGAAAACAAAAAGCAGTACTATTTATAGTTTTATACCGACCTCCTGGTCCTTACAGCGAGTTCCTAACAGAATTCTCTGACTTCATTTCAAACCTAGTTTTGGAATGGGAAAACATAGTTATAGCTGGAGACTTCAATATACATGTGGACGACAGCACTGACAGCTTAAACAAAGCTTTCAGCGCCGTACTAGATGGTGTTGGTTTTACTCAGAATGTCGAGGAACCTACTCACATTCATAACCACACCTTGGACCTTGTCCTGACCTACGGCTGTGATGTCTCCAATGTTGACATCCAGCGTCAAAGCTCGTTGCTGTCTGACCATTTCTTGATCACGTTTGATCTCGCTTTGGAGGACTTTCCTGTCCCGCAAGATAAAACCATAATGAAAAGAACCTTAAATGATAAATCTATCACAAGGTTCAAAGAACTAATACAGCCTATGTTGAATACTGCTGCAGGTGAACCTGTTCACAGCAGCTGCAGTCCCTCAGTCATCGACCAAACGGTGGGCAACACTATGGAGTCTTTAAAATCTGCATTAAATGCAGCAGCTCCTTTAAAACAGAAAACCATTAGGATTAGATCATCGTCGCCCTGGTACAGTGTTCAACTCCACACTTTAAAACAGGACGTCAGAAAATTGGAGAGGCTATATCGCCACTCCCACTCGGAGCCTGTCCACAGGGAGTGGAAAGCAGGTCTCCGAAACTACAAGAAGGCCCTTCGCGGGGCTCGAACTCATACTATTCAACTTTAATAGAAGCGAATAAAAACAACAGTAGATTTTTGTTTGGTACCGTCGCTAAACTCACAAACTGCCATAGCGCAATCGAGCCTAAAATTCCAAGCTCACTGAGCAGTGTCGACTTTCTCCACTTCTTTAATAATAAAATTACATCCATCCGTGACAAGCTGGAGGAGGTTGCTCCTGCTGTTAGTGGTGGACAGGTTGAAGCGGCATACGTGACTTCCCACTTAGACTCTTCAGTGGGCCTTAATAAATTCATGGCTGTGAGCCAAGCAGAGGTGATCTCTGTGGTCACATCCTCAAAAGCCTCAACTTGCATGTTAGACGCAGTCCCGACATGGCTCTTCAAAGACATACTTCCTTTGATAATTGAGCCTATCGTAAATATAATAAACGCATCCATACAATGTGGCTATGTCCCACAAGCTTTTAAAACCGCGGTAATCAAACCCCTTCTGAAGAAAACAAACCTGGACCCAGAAATACTTACAAACTACAGACCGATCTCGAACCTCACTTTTATATCTAAAATCCTGGAAAAACTTATAGCTGAGCAGCTCCGCTGCCACCTGCAGGAAAATGATATGTTTGAAGTCTTTCAATCAGGATTCAGAGCTCATCATAGCACTGAAACGGCACTAGTCAAAGTCACAAATGACTTACTACTAGCTGCCGATAATGGACAAGTGTCAGTGCTGGTCCTACTGGACCTTAGTGCTGCATTTGACACAATAGACCACAGCATTCTACTGCAGAGGCTAGAATGTGATATAGGTCTTAGAGGAACAGCCCTTGGCTGGTTTAAATCCTATTTATCAGATCGATATCACTTCGTCAATGTGAATCAGGACTCGTCGCCTTATTCTGGAGTGGAATTCGGTGTGCCGCAGGGTTCGGTACTCGGACCGATTCTTTTTACTCTCTACATGCTGCCACTGGGAAACATTATTAAAAAGCATGGAATTAATTTCCACTGCTATGCAGATGACACACAGCTTTATCTGTCGATGAAGCCTAATCAGACAGATCAGCTAGAAAAGCTCAGTGCCTGCATAAAGGACCTTAAAATGTGGATGACTCTTAACTTCCTACTTCTCAACCCGGAGAAGACAGAAGTGATCCTACTCGGTCCGAAGCGCCTGCGTGACTCCCTCACTAACCAGATGGTTACTCTCGATAATGTCAGTATAATACCCAGTAACACTGTGAGGAATCTTGGAGTCATTTTTGACCAAGAACTCTCCTTCAAGGCTTATATAAGCCAAGCAACTAAAACGGCGTACTTCCACTTACGGAACATCGCTAAAATTAGGAATTTCCTTCCTAAAAGTGACGCGGAAAAACTCATTCACGCGTTTGTCACCTCAAGGCTTGACTACTGTAACGCTTTACTGGCAGCGTGCCCTAAAGCCTCTTTGAAGAGCTTCCAGCTCGTTCAGAATACAGCAGCTAGGATCTTAACAGGTACCAAAAGGAGGGAGCACATAACTCCGGTGTTAAAATCACTCCACTGGCTCCCTGTGGAGTACAGAATAAAGTTTAAAATCCTTCTCTTAACATATATAAAGCCATAAATGGCTTGGCTCCTTCTTATCTCCAAGACACGTTAGTGTCGTATCAACCAAGTCGAGCGTTGCGCTCACAAAACGCCAGACGTCTGGTGGTCCCTAAGGTCTCAAAGGTCACTGTTGGTGGCAGAGCATTTAGCTACCAAGCTCCTTTACTGTGGAATCAGCTTCCCATTTATGTTAAGGAAGCAGATACGGTCTCCACATTCAAGGCCAGGCTTAAAGCACTTTACTTTAATTTAGCATATAATTAGGTAATATATAATATGTAGTGTATATATTATATATATATGCTGTATTATGTTATATATTATGTTATATATTATTCAATAATGTATTGTGTTATGTTGTATATTATGTTATATATTATGCTGTATGTTATTCTTTATTCAAGGCTAGGTTTAAAACAGTCCTCTTTAGTTTAGCATATGGCTAGGAAGGTAAGACTCGGAGAAGGTTAAACTCCTCAGAGTGTTAGTCAAGCTGCATAGGGAGTCAGTTTGCTGGGAGAAGTATGGTAACTTGAGCACTATCCTCTCCTCCTTCCTACTTTATCTGTTTAGCATTTTTAGGATTCTGACTGTAGTTTGTTCATTGCTATTCACCCGTTGTCCCATTGTCTGTTTCATGGTACGATGACGGGATCTCTGAGCCTGGCCTCTTCCATCTACACCTGCGGACTGCCCCGCCCGACCCGCCTGGGAGTGCTTCGGTCCTGCACCGGACCTGTCCACGTTCAGCGTCCACTGGTCCACGTTCTGTAGCTAGCTTAGGTCCTAGATCATTAGTCTGTCCGTCCGGAGGAGCGGATCCCTTTCTCATATGGGTCTCCCTCCCTGTGGGTTTCCCTAGTTCTCCTCCAAGGTTTCTCACTTTTTCCCACTGGGTTTTTTAAGAGTTTTTCCTTGTCGATGCAGGAGGGTCTTGTTGGACAGTTAGTGTCCAACAGAAAGGATTGGTGATGATCAGGACACTTTAGCATTCTACAACATGTATGGACATTTTCTTCTGTGTGTGCTTTATACTGTATTCTTCATGTGTTTTAACTGTTGATTCTCTGACCTGTGTTGGTGATTTCAATGGTTTTGTTAAGTCCTCTGAGATGACTTCTGTTGTGACCTAGGGCTATACAAGAATAAATTGTATTGTATTGTAAGTTCCACTGGTTTACTTTGTTTCTTTCTCTCAGACAGAATAAAGGCAGTACACAGTTTATATAGTCATTGTCACGTCACACATCGAAAGACATACGTGTCACAAAGAGACAGTCACATCATAGTCATAACATGGAGTCCTTGTAGAGTCCTTGTACAGTTCTGCACGTAGGCCATATTGCTATCTAATACTAACAATACAAAAAAGTACTAATATTTCAAATACTACAAAAGATACATACACCATAAGTAATAGCCCCCGTGAGATGATAAAACCAAACAAAATGGGGTATAACACGTTAAAAGAGTTGAAACGCGCCAAAAGATGAAGAAGAGGACGGATGGAATAAAGATTACAAGAACAAATCAATTCAAGGTAAAATTCGAAATTTTTATACTACTATGAGACCTACTCCAACTGCTCCCACTCATGTCTTCTGTTGTTGTGTCCTTGGGCAAGACACTTAACCCCTGAAGCCCCCCACTGAAACACCAAGGCTGTGTCATTGCTGACAGAGGAGCAGCCATCTTTCTGTGAACCCACCACCTGCAGGAGGATCAGCGATGGACTGGTGCTATGAGCATTGGGTGGGATCGGAGCTCTGATTGTCCCCCGTCCCAGAAATGGATTAACAAATGGGTAGAAAAAGAAAGAATGAATATATTAGGTATACAATATACAATCTAATATACAATCCAATATACAATCCTCACACTATTTGGTCAATGACAGACATTTTATTTTGAAACAAAATTGTGCCCCAAATAAGTTTTGTCAATTTCTGAGCTGATGTGAGAATTTGGTGAAAATTTGGCAGAATGTGATTTATCATCTCCCTCTAGATGAGGGTGTTTTGCGGACCTCATCTTTTAACCATTGTATATATTATCCTTGTGCATGCATATATAATATATTGTACTCAAGATATTTCTACATGTGTGTGTGCGTGTTCCAGGCAAGTGCAGTCAGTGGTCTACATGTTGCTCCTGCAGAGCCTGACCACATCCTTGTCCCTGGGCCATGGCTCAGAGTGTGGAGAGGAGCCCCAGAGCTGGAGAGGTGAGAGCTAGAGGTCCCTATACTCCACTGAAGCAACTGTAGGAACATTTAAGACTAACTTTCAAAAGTGATGCATTTGAACATTCAGAATAATCCACTGCTTCCTCCCTGTGCTCCTCTGTGCTCCTCACAGTGCCCCTGATGGTGCTGGCCGGCCTTTGTGCACTCAGCTCCTCCGTCTTTGTGCTGCTGTTCCGCTCTCCGTACAGACGCATCAAGGCGGAGCAGCTGGCAAGAGCGGGCCCCGCAACTGTCACCTCCGATCTGGTCCCGGAGAGCTACTCTAGAGAAGATCCTCCACCTCTGACCAGGTGCTCCTCTACCTCGCACCAGGGTCCCTAGAGCTGCTGCTCCATCTCTGTCCTGTGTGAAGTTTGTGACTGAAAACTACCCAGATTTTCTAAGTTATTTTTAATCTTCTGCTGGAGAGCAGTTTATAAAGGTCTTATGCAAAGAGCCATTTTCTGCCTTATTTTGCCAAAAACTGTCCGGATCTGTATATCATTTTTTTGTGCATGCCCACAGCCCATTTGACTGTAAGCAGACTCCCAGATCCTTGTGCTTTATTTAAAGGGACAATGTCATTTTTTAATTCATAACATCTACATGTTATCCCCAGATCACTGATCACGCATCATATATTTGACTTTCTCTGAACAACCGTTTAAACTGGATTTAAATAGTTGTAATCATCTCGTTTTATCAGTAGATTAATACATTATATGGTTCTTCCATACTAAGATAGTGATGTTATTACCTTCACATGTTTCAACAACAAACTTATGTTCTTCCCAGTCTGGCATTATTCTTAGTTTTAAATGCAGTTGACAAGATGTCCATAGTATGTTTAAAATGTTAAAGATTATTTGGGTTACCAGTTTGTTAAGTGAAAGTATTAATACAGCTTGAACTTTTGTGTTTTTTGTCATATTTACAACCCTAAACCTAAATATTATCATTTGATTTGTTTTTACTGAAAAGTCACATATAATTAACAGACAACCTTGAAGTGAAAGTAAAATGATGCATGATTCTGTTATTATTTCACAAAAGTGAAGAGTTGTGCTTGCACAAGTATTTAAACGTTTTTTTTTCAGAGGGCATTAAATTGCTTTTAAAACATTTTCAATTACTACTGAATATTCACACCTTGTCCTAAGGATTGAAGGGCCCATATTACGCTTTTTGACTTTTCTCTGGTTTAAACATGATTACAGTGCTATTTGGCCTTCATGCACATGTCCAGTAGTAGTAGTTTTTTTGTTGATTCCTTCTATCCACAACCAGCCATAATTTGACAAGTTGTGTTGTATGGTGTATCACCCAAATTACTATCACACATGTGCATAAGATGGACTGTGAAAAATGAAAAGCGAAATATGGCACCTTTAAATAGAAGCCTCCTGTGTGTTATGTAATCTCAGTATAAATACGGCTGTTCCGCCTCAGAACTATGGTCAGAGTGTAAAATACATATAACACAGAGTGTCACTAAACAACATCATGAGGCCAAGGAGCACACCAGAAAAGGTCAAGAATAAAGTTGGAGAAGTTTAAGCAGCATTAAGTTATACCAAGATTTAACAATATTTGAACATCTGACAGTGCACTGTTCAATCGGAAATGGAACGAGTTTGGCATCACTCTGAACTTACTAAAACAGAGCCGCCCAGGTAAACTAGAGGTTAGAAAGGCAACCAAGTTACCCAAGAAGACTCTGGAAGAGCTGCGAAGTACTGCCGCCAAGCTGGTGGAATCTGTACATGGGAAAACTATCAGTTGGCCTTTATGGACGAGTGTGCAGGCCCATCCTTTCATTTAAAATAATAACCGAATCATGCATCATTTTGCTTTCACTTCACAGTTGTTTGTTACTTGTGTGTGAACTTTCAGTAAAAAAAAAAAAAAAAATCTAAATACGATCTTTGTTTATGGTTGTAAATATAACAAATGTATATACAGTATATATTTTAATATTTTATAGGGCTGTCAAAGAAATACATTTTTTAATCGAGTTAATTACAGCTTAAAAATTAATCGTAATTAATCGCATTTCAAACTATCGACAAAATGATGCCATATTTTTCGGTAAATGGTTGTTTGAATGGAAATATAAATGACAGCATAGTGTACATATGTACTGTATTTGTTTATTATACAATAAATACACATAAAATTGCATTAACATCATAAACATTCTGTCTTTCTGTTTAGACTCAGACCAAAACTATTGTTTGTTACAGATGAGGGACATTTCAAAACAGTCTGAGGCAGAATGTCATTAAATCTGTCATGAACTGGTAGTGGAAGGGAAAATTAGGTACCCCAGCTTTAATTTAGCGAGTGCGCTTCGGGAGAAGACACGGAGGAGACTGAGGCTCCGTTGTCCAGCTTCTGCGCTTTATTTTTTGTGTGCACCGGTTACGCAAAGACACGTACAATAGCATCATAGAATAGTTCTGTGCGTGTATGGTCTTGGATATGATCACGTTACGCGGCGCCGTTCGGCGTGATCACAGCCGCTGGGGACTTTAGTGACTTTAAACTTTAGCGTAGACCTGCGAGACGCTCGCTGCTCTGACCATGTGAACGAGCAACTTTACATGCGGCCTTATTCCTTAGAAGTGTTTTTTATTCTTTTTATTAGGCCCGAGCCCCGAACGGGGAAAGGGCCACCTACAACAGCCAAAATAATGCCCCTATGGGAGTTTTGGAGATCAAGGTTGTCGTAGAGCCATGAAATTCGGTACACATGTTCCTCAAGTCAAGACAAGAAAAAAATATTATGGCCCCGTCCTCTGACAAACAGGAAGCCCATGATCTGAATTTCACTGCAAAATGGAAAAAGTTTTCATACATGTCGGTTGGAAATCTTCTCCTCCTTGGCCGTTTCACCGATTCGCCTCAAAATCGCTCCACATCATCTCAACACATGTACCTTCAAAATGACCTCAGGAATTTTTGATCAGCAAAACATTGTTTGAGCAACAAAGCGGCAAAATGTGACCTTTTTTTGGCTTTTTTTGACAACAGGAAATAGGCTCCCGTTTGCACAAACAAAGTCTGATTTGCACAAAACTTTAATACATTGTTCAAGTCTAGGGTCTAGGTCATTTGAAAGTGAAATGTTTCAAATTGACACATTACCGCCCCCTACAGACTATTTCAAAGTTTTATATGGGCATTTTCACATTTAGTTTTTTCAAAATGTTTGAAATTTTGCACATACATCTTTTTTGCCCTCTTGATTCAAAAAGTCAAAAGGGCCCAAGGCTTATTTTTTACCCTGTTGCCGTGGCGACGACAATCGCTCTTCATCGTCTATGGCAATTGCACACCTCACACAAACATCAAACCAGCCTTGGCCGTTCCACAAATTTGGCCGAAATGTACATGTTCCATCAAAATGACTTCAGGGATTTTTGATCAGTGAAACGTTGTTTGAGCAGCAGAGCGGCAAAATGTGACATTTTTCCCCATTTTGAGAATAGAAACATAGCTCCCTTTTGCACAAACCAAGTCCGATTTGCACCAAATTTGAATCAGTTGTTCAACTTTTGGGTTTGGGTAAACTGAAAGTGTAAAACATTAAATTGCAGCATTAGCGCTCCCTACAGACTGAGTGAAGTTTTAGATGGGTGAGAATGGCATTTACTAAGTCTGATTTGCACTAAACGACTCGGTTGTTCAACTCCTGGGCCTAGGTCGCCTGAAAGTGTGAACAATGACATTGTCCCATTAGCGCCCCCTACAGGCTGAGTAAAACTTGTATATATGGGACACAGCGCATTTAGTTTTCCTGTTGTTTGATCTCATATTTGACCCACTGAGCATGCACAAAAACTCACCATATTCTTTTATTACGTTTTTTTTTCTGGCAACAAATGATTTATTTTGATGTCTATGGTAAAAGACTAAAAATTGGATTTGCTAGTTCAACTCTCGAGTTTGGGTAAACTGAAAGTGTAAAACATGAAATTGCCCCATAAGCGCCCCCTACAGACAGAGTCCAACATTACATGGGGAGAATGAGGTTTAATTTTTCAATAGAGACACACAATCACTGATCATAGACATTCAAAATACACAGTGTCGCTCCCATCAGGGCTTTAGGAAGATGGTGCGTCACATGGTCATCCAATGGAGACTGTATATATATGGACACACTCACATTGTATGTGTAAACAGGAGCACATGTATAAAGTCTGATTTGTACCCCGCGGCTCGCGCATGCGGCGCCTCACGCAGTGCGGTGGCTCATGCGATTGCTCTGCAGGGAGTCGCTGTCCTTGGGGGTCGCGCTCTGCGGGGAGTCGCGCTCTGCGAGGAGTCGCGCTCTGCGGGGAGTCGCGTTCTGCGGAGATTTGCGCGCATCGGGAAGTGGCGCGGTGCGGGGAGTGGCGATGTGGCGAGGGCCGTTCGACGCCGCTTGCGGCTTAAAATTTATTTTATTCTTTCTCTCTGACTGTTGCACCAAGCCAAACCAATTTCCAAGTCTGTGACCTCCTGTTACTTACGTGGCAATAAAAATGATTCCGATTCTGATTCTGAAAAGCAGGTTAAGGGACGTGTATCAGATGGAACAAATAACGGCCCGGCTGCAGATGAAAACTGACATACAGTGCTTTGCGAAAGTTGAACCTTTCAACATTTCGCCACATTTCAGGCTTCAAACATAATAAAGATATAAAAAATATTTTTTTTGGCAAGAATCAACAACAAGTGGGACACAATCGTGAAGTGGAAAAACATATATTGGATAATTTAAACTTTTTTAACAAATAAAAAACTGAAAAGTGGGGCGTGCAATATTATTCGGCCCCCTTGCGCTAATACTTTGTAGCGCCATCTTTTGCAGCAATTACAGCTGCAAGTCGCTTGGGGTATGTCTCTATCAGTTTTTCCCATTGAGAGACTGGAATTCTTTCCCATTCTTCCTTGCAAAACAGCTCGAGCTCAGTGAGGTTGGATGGAGAGTGTTTGTGAATAGCAGTCTTCAGCTCTTTCCACAGATTCTCGATTGGATTCAGGTCTGGACTTTGACTTGGCCATTCTAACACCTGGATACGTCTATTTGTGAACCATTCCATTGTAGATTTGGCTTTATGTTTTGGATCATTGTCCTGTTGGAAGATAAATCTCCGTCCCAGTCTCAGGTCTTTTTCAGACTCCAACAGGTTTTCTTCCAGAATGGTCCTGTATTTGGCTCCATCCATCAATTTTAGCCATCTTCCCTGTCCCTGCTGAAGAAAAGCAGGCCCAAACCATGATGCTGCCACCACCATGTTTGACAGTGGGGATGGTGTGTTCAGGGTGATGAGCTGTGTTGCTTTTACGCCAAA